TCAATGCCTCTTTGGAGGTCTAAGGATCGGAATGTATGAGCCGGTGGGTTCTCAAAACTACTTTTCGCTTTCTCTAGAAATCGTAGTTACTACTAAGAAAGCTTAACTAATCTGTTTTCATCCAGGTTAAAAACTTGTACGTTGGGAAAGACCATGTAGGTGATGTTCCTTTGAGCAAGAAAATCCTTGCTGGTTTGACAACAGGTTAGCATCACGGGAGAACCGTTTACAAGAAACTCTGAGTACATGTTTGTCTCATGTTGTTGTTGTTGTTAAACTCTCAGGTGCGCTGGGTATCATGGTTGCGAATCCCACTGATCTTGTGAAAGTTAGACTTCAGGCTGAAGGGAAACTAGCTGCAGGTGTACCAAGACGGTATACTGGATCGCTGAATGCCTACTCAACGATTGTTAGACAGGTAGTTAACTTATCCCGCAGTGGTAGTTGAGGTCATGCTTTAAGTTTGATTAAACTCTGATTCATATCTATTTTAACTTGCCTCTGACAGGAAGGAGTCCGAGCTCTTTGGACTGGTCTTGGACCTAATGTAGCTAGAAACGCTATCATCAATGCTGCTGAATTAGCCAGTTACGATCAAGTGAAACAGGTATATAAAACCAACCATTTCCTCTACTTCTCTTGTCTAATATTTTAACCAACGTTCTTGTTACATTTATTTTTTTTAATCTTTCAGACAATCTTGAAGATTCCGGGTTTCACTGATAACGTTGTCACACACATTCTATCTGGACTGGGAGCAGGATTCTTTGCTGTCTGCATTGGTTCCCCTGTTGACGTGGTATGATATCTCTACACATGAAGTTAAAACCATTAATTTGTCCATTATGCCACCTGATTGTCTTCCTTGAATCTTATTGTGTGGCACAGGTTAAGTCAAGAATGATGGGAGATCCTTCTTACAAAGGCACCATTGACTGCTTCGTCAAAACTCTGAAAGCCGACGTAAGCAACTCTTCTTCTGTGTTCTCTCTGGAAATAACATAACCCACAGAGAAAGTTTATATAACTCTTGAGGCTTTGTTTACTTTACAGGGACCTATGGCATTTTACAAGGGTTTCATCCCCAACTTTGGACGTCTTGGCTCATGGAACGTCATCATGTTTTTGACCCTAGAACAGGTAAACAACTTATTAAACTGTTATTTGTTTTGAATCCATCCACGCAAAACCTTTTGCCTCTTTCTCTTCTCTAATATCATTTTAATACTCAGGCAAAGAAGTATGTCCGGGAACTAGAATCGTCCAAGAAATGATACTGAGACACAAACAAAGTGCAGAGAAGAATAAGAACAACATTATTTTCCTTAATTTTTTCGGTGGTCGAGAGAGAGAGGCCAGAACATCATCGAATATTGTTTTGGAATAGAGAGTTGTTTTCAAGTAAACTGTGAAATAAATTACTGTGGTGGGTTGCTGTACCATTCAAACATTCATCAAAATCATACATTTTCATCTTTTCTTTTACAAAAAGAAGAGGAAACTCTTGAAGAAGAGACAGAGTTCTTAGCTCAATTTCTTCTTATATTCAAGATAAGACCCTATGTCGAATCTAAGGTAAAGCTCTTTAGCTTTGTTGCAGACGAACACTAGAGATCCATCTATGTATTCCTCATATCTCTCATAGAAAGCTGGAACTGTCATTACCACCAAAACCCCTGCCAAAACAACCAGTGATGTAATGAATGAATCTCCAGCTCAAAACCAGACCAAGTCTGATATTTATTACTTACCGGTGTGGCAAAGTGTCTGAAAATCCATGAGGCTTCCAATGAATGATATGAGAAACAGATAGACCGCTACTTTGATAAACAACTCAGAGTCTCTTCCCATCGCAATGTCATACGAGACTTGTAGCAGTTTATTCACATGGATGCGTAACAACTTGGAAGCTTCTTCAGCCATTGCTTCACTTATTTGAAACTCTGGCAATGGCGGTGATGGCCTAATAAGAGCCAAAGGGATATATAACAATAATAAATTACGTAAGAAGAATATTTTAATTACAAATGGATCTCTTGACAGAGACACTTGTTTGGTTTTACCTGTTGAGAATAGATGCAGATTTGGACCAGAGGAAGAGGATAGAGAGCAAGAGGAGAAGAACACTTGAGAGAAGAGTGAGGATGGTGTAGGCAAAGCTCTCAAACACCATCCATGATGCTATTGTGACTGTAACTATACCAACACTCACATTCTTGTTCCTCCACATGATCACATCTGCAACTGCAGATTCATCTCACAAGAAGAAGAAAAGGTTACACGAGTTGGAAATCACTTAGCTAAGATTTGGTAATGATGTATGGATTCACTTACAAATGCCACCTCCCAGAATCTCATGTACTGTTCTCTCTCTGTTGAACAACTTGTCCGAACAAGAACCCATTTTTAGAGCAAAGATCAGGAATTTTTTCGATTCTAATCTCGTCAGATCCCAGAATGTCAGAAATAGACAGAAGAAAAAAACAAATCACAATAGGCTCAAACCGAAAGCAGAAGAGAGTTAAAAAAAAGTGATCAGACTAAAGTTGGGTCATCACCATCATCATCAAAGCCATCAACTTTAAATATATATAGAATTAATTAATAATAATATAATAATTCAAAGCTATGCTATGCTCTGTTCAGGAAAAAAAAAGAGGAAAGTGTTTGTTGGCCTCTCGATTATCACCTTCCAGCCTAAAAGTGTCTTCCCTTCTAGTCCGTGTTTTGAAAAAACGGTAAAAGTTCGCTTATATATGGATGAAAATTTATTCGATTCATATGTAGAAAAAAAAATATGTTTTAGTTACTAATCTATTTATTGTTGTCAGCTCTCAAATTAATCAATTCATTAAAAATGTTGACCAGAGAGAAAACGAGCAATTTTATACAGAATTCAATGCAACAAGGCAAAAAGTTATAACACATTTCCAATTCTCAATGGATTGTTAACCTGTATTCTCCAAAATATTAATTTCGGTATTTAAATACTTTCATAATCTCCCATGACAAACTCAGAAAGGGATAAATAAGAGAAAAATATAAAAAATCATTTCAGAAAGTTTCATGTATTAATGAGAAACTCACATTACACATATCACTAACGAACTAAATTAATTATTATTTTTCAAGTGAAAAAAAAATTATATACTTTCTCACATAACCATTATTTTTTTTTTTTTGAACAATCATATAACCATAATTTTGCCCAAGAATAGCTTACTTCAAGCCAAGTGATTTTCTCCGGTCTATTTAATTCTATACTCTCTCAGTCTCTTGGTGTTCTCTTATCATCTTTTTACTTATCACAGTTAGTCCCTAAAAAGGGTTATTTATACAATAACCAAAATATAATAATAATTAGTTTTTTAGAAGAGAAAGATAGGAAGAGAAAAGAAATGAAAGAGGATGATTTTAGTTACTAGTTGCATACTCCGCACGCAAGCGCGGGGCCGGGATCATTGTATTTGCATGTATTTTTTTCGATTATTGGTTTAGTGGATTCTTCTAATGACACCAAATAATAATAAAATTGTAAGATTGTAGTAAGAATGTAAAGTGAAAATATTGTATATATAATGTGTTAAATGTTATTTATATGTGAAGTAAAGTTTATAGGAATAGTTAGGCTATAATATAGTTTTTAGTGTGTAAAAGTAGGTGTTTATTTTTATTTTTATTTTTGCTGTAAATAGTTATTTCGTAGGTCAAAACTTGATATAATTCTATATTTATAGTATTTATATTTGTATTAAACGATTTATCAATTTGAAAATAACCTTAATTAAGTTTTTATTCGTTGTTTAAGTTTTATTAGATAGGTTTTTATATATGATTTTTTGTAAGTTTGGGTTTTGTTCATAAATGATGTGGCATTTTTACCTACGACTTCATCGACTGTGGGAATCCATTCGTCGGAGTCCAGAGTCGGTGGTAAGGAATGTTTTCAATGAAATTATAGTAGTTATTAAAATGTAAGAGAAATTACATATTCATTTAATAAAAAAATCGAAAATACTTAAATTTTGTTGTTTATTTTATTTATTTTATTTCACATACAAATTTTTTGAAAATATATTAGGAATGTGTTAAATGTTATTTATATGTGAGGTTTATATGAATAGTTAGGCTATAATATAGTTTTTAGTGTGTAAAAGTAATTTTTTTTGCTGCAAATAGTTTTTATATCGTAGGTCAAAACTTGATATAATTCTATATTTATAGTATTTATAATTGTATTAAATGATTTATTAATTTGAAAATAACCTTAATTAAGTTAATATTCGTTGTTTAAGTTTCATTAGATAGATTTTTATATATGGTTTTTTGTAAGTTTGAGTTTTGTTCATAAATGATGTGGCATTTTTATCTACGGCGTCATCGACTGTGGGAATCCATTCAACGGAGTCTGAAATCGGTGGTGAGGAATGTTTTCAATGAAATTATAGTAGTTATTAAAATGTAAGAGAAATTACATATTCATTTAATAAATAACAAAAAAAATTAAATTTTGTTGTTTTTTTATTTTATCTCACATACAATTTTTTCGAAAATATATATTAGGAAATATGTGCAATGGTTTAACTTTTTTAGCTCTTAATATATAGTATTCAAGTCTCATTAAGCCATCCACGTAGGTAGGCGCGTGGGACTCACTTTTTTTTTATTTTTTGGTCAGTTCGTTTTTGGATCCTTTTTTTATTATTTTTGGGTTGAGCTATATTATAATAGTATAGTTTTAAGGCTCTTTAAGCCATCCGCGTAGGCAACCACGTGGGACTTACTTTTTTTTCCTTATTGTTCATTTTTGGATCCATTTTTAACTATTTTTGGGTTTGAAGTTGTTAAGCTTTAGGGTTTATCCAACTATTTTGATTTTTAAAACAATAAGCCCAAAAAATAAACATAAAAACCTTATAAACAAAAAGCCTATATGATAATAACCCAAATCAAAAATACATGATACCTGCGTGTTTTGAACCCACGATCTTGCATGATTAATTAGACACCTTATACCACTTGGCTAAATTGTATTTCATTTTTTCTAATCATCTTACCAAGACTATGGGTTTTTGAAAAATGCCTACGGGACCCACAAAACTGCTGACGTGGCGCGATGTTGAGCCTAGAAAGTCTACTATTATAATATAGATTTATTGAATTTCTGTTTTTTATATTGCGTGTAATTTCCTGAAAATAAATAATTACAAATGTATTACCCAAAAGTAGGGCTGAGATTTTTCTCCGGGATCCGAATTCGATTCGAGATCCACTCCGGATCTGCTCGAAAATTAAGATATCTGGGAATGCTCGAATCCAAATCCGGATAGTAAAATCTTGGATTCGTGCAAACTGAATCAGGATCCAAATATCTTTTTAGATTCAGATTCGTATTCGTATTTTAAAAAATATACTAAATTTTGACCTGCGCTTGAGAAGCGCAGATTTTTTTTTGGCTGTAACTGTTTGTTATCAAATTATTCGATTTGTATTGTATGATAGATTTGTATGTGAAATTTGATGTATATTTAGTTAAAAAATATAGTATGTGATAGATTTGTATGTGACATTTGTATGTGAAATTTGTATGTGAAATTTGATTGGATGGAGCCAAAGCCCATAGTATGTGAACTTTGTATGTGAAATTTGATTGGATGGAGCCCAAAAAATATAGTATCTTTATATGAGATTTGAATGTGAAATTTGAATGGATGGAGCCAAAGCCCATAGTAAACTTAAACAAATTCTTACTATAAAATTGGATGGATCAATAGTCCATAATCAAATTCCAACTAAGTCGTAAAATAATAACATATATGATTCAACATATATTGTTTTGAAAATAGAACAAATTCTGAAGATAAACCATGATCTAACATGTAAAATCATACTACAAAATAGTGTAATATTTGAAATATTTAAATAGTATTATAACAAAAGTCTTATCCAATTGATTAAACAATCCACTGCATGGATACTTTCAAAATAATAATATTAAACTATCTTATTATTATATTTGATTTTTGCATGTAGCAAATAATTCAAAAAAGAGTAATCATTATTTGACATGGATAAACTCAATAAATATACGAAATCTGTATCTAAAAATCTGGGTGACATGACCAAAATGTCAAATCATTAAGTCTTAGAAATAACATCTTTGAAGCAACTTTATAAAACAATCGTTTTGGAAGATGAAGTATTTGTCAATCATATCAAAAGTGCATTTCGGAACTGACAAAACAAAACCATAACAAACATATATTCTAAAATTAAGATTACTAAATAAGAATAAGATAAAGTTTAAAAATCGGATAGTTGTTTAATAAAGAGAAAATAAATATTCAGTATCTAATCACTTAAATTCTAAACACTTTAGCAGAATCTATACTATTAAACCTAATAATACTAAACATAACTAAAACCATTATTTCTAAACAAAAATAATCCTAAAACGCCTAAAATATGAGTAAATCAAGCAATAAACCAAGAAATAAGAGTATATCAAGCAATAATAAACATTAATAATAAATTTTTTAATAAAACAAACCGGTTGTAAACAACCGGTATATAATGTTCAAATTAAAAAAAAGATTTAAAATAAACTTAAAACATTAAGTTGGAGATTGGGATTTGTTTGATTTTCAGTCATACATCATTGGTTCACCCAGCTTGAACCAATCGATAATAGGAACCTGAAAATTTTGAAGCTTGGCTTCGGCAAGGACCAGCTCGAACTTTGTCTTCTTCTTTTCATGGTACATGGAAAAAAGAGTTTCACATTCTTGAAGGAACTCAAGTTTCGCCTCAATGCGAACCTTATTGAGTTCCTCCTGGTGCCTTTCCTCAATAGCTTTATTCTGGTCACGATACATCACCATCATAGCCCTATAACGCTACATGGTCTCGAAACTACCCCTTTGGTAAGCCTCCTTCGCAGTTTCTTCTTTTTCCTCCATCAGTTGACATTTCATTTTGAGATCCTTGTTACCTGCCATTGAGATACTTCTCGATATTCAAGAAACAGCAGATGAATTTTAGAAAACAAATATAAAAAATATGGAAATATAATAAACCGTAAGATCTAACATAAATTAACTACATATGAATATTTGTAATTCCAAAATATCGTCTATATTTATATCCTCTAAATTTAACACTGTTAATAAAATATTCATAGAAGGGAAAATAAAACAGTAACTGAAAATCTAACCCTGGAATGACAATATTTAATAAAATATGATCAAAGAACCTAGCGACAGAACATATCATTTCTTCAAGGCATAACATATCTAACAACAGAACAACATGTCTTATATGTTTTAGGATGAAAAGAACAAAGAAACAAAATATTAAGTTTACGAAACAAATATGGAAATATAATAAACCCTAAATATTTATTAT